TTTAAACTATTGCACTATGTAATTTAAACATTGTTGTTATTATTGCTATTTTTGAAGATCAGTAGTGTTAACATTTCTGGCGGGTGGTGAAAACCCGTGCTATCATATATCCTGCTGGTTCAGACAATTACATTTTCTGACAAAGCTTTCTGTACATTCATGGCAATTCCAAAAGAAGTTCAAAGCCCTGTGAAAAAGACTTGAAGGCCCATACCATGCTTGTCAGTATTCAGGAGACTGGACTTGGCAAAGAGAGTCCTAGTCATGGAAGGACAGAAACAGACAATGTGGTGCCAAAGCAAGAACACAGTGACTCGCGTCAAGGACTAAACTGTCCACTAGGAGAACACAATATAAAGTGACAAAGCACACCGGGAGTCATTCATCAGCGCAGAAAGGCACCATTCGCTCTCCAAAACCAGAGAGTCAGACCAAAGTCAGAGAGAATGGAACAGCTGAATGTGATAGATGAACCAGCTGAGTGGGTCAGTTCTACAGACTTTGTGGACAAAACAGACTGGAATATTACTAATATTAAAGGACCATTGAGATTTGAACACCTTAAAATGACCAACATGAACAAAAAAAGCGTTTACAAATGAAAAATACTAGAAATTTGTTAACATCTTGGTTGAAGTTGATCATTGCCCTACAAAAAAGTCTCCCAAAACCATGCGCTTGAGATACTTTCGATAATTTAGGCTTGGTTTAAAGCAAATGTAAGTCCACTCAGAACTGGCTGTGGCTAATTACCCAATTTTAGTAAAACAAGGAGAATATATAACTAGCCACATTTTCAAGATCTCCACCCATTTTTTGCATCATCATCCCTCAAATGCATTTATATGACAAAGGAACACATTTCAATGTACAGGATACATAAATCATACACTAGTATCAGTACTTATCAGCTTAGTGTTGATCAGGGCAGGAATGCATCCTTTTCGACCCTGAAACCTGACGTTAAAGGCCTAGACAACACTATCTATGGCAGTGGTCACCCACCCTGGTCCTAGAGTCCTACGTTCCTGTGGACTGTGAACTAATTCAGAAGTCTTTGGTGGGCTGGATCAGAGGAATTAGTGCAGGAATGTGGAGGAGGTAGCATGTTAGATGCAGATTGGGACAAATCTCTGCAGGAAAGTAGATCTCCAGGAGAAGGGTTGGTGACCACTGGCCTATGGTATTGTTAAGTGTGGTCAGGTCAGGTCGAGTATGACTCTTAATGACCATTTGGACAGTGTTCTTCCAGAATATTCAGTCTTCTGTTTGGGTCTTTAGTAGGGCTGTCAAAGTTACACACTAATAACACAGTATTATTTATGAATAATTTTAATAAAGTTATAAATAATTAACACTACTCATTTGTTTTTAACTCAACTCATTTTCCTCTTCGACCCCTCCGCAGTAGTGCAGGCTGAACCCAGCTGCAGTGCACCATGTTTGATAGAATCCGTGATTGTAGCATCTCATTCACGGACAGCTTTTAAATGTATTTTAAGGTGAAAAGATGTTGGATAGACACTCACAGGAGAACTATGGATAAATAAATGAGCAGCAAACAAACAAAAGCAGCAGCTTGGTGCAGCTCCAGTTCCCCTCGAGATCCTCCACTGTAACAAGAACCCACAAGCTGTATGAACAAGAGTGCGAGATATAATCACAGAGGAGCTGAACCACTGACTGTATATATGATATATATGATACATACAGTCATTGACTATAGATGATGTGTATGATATATACACATTCATCACTCTATAAATGACATAATACACTCAAACTGTAAATGACATTTAATATATATGCTCATTGATTATGTGATGTAAGTGATATATACACTCAGGAGGCGGACCCAAGTACAGAGAGGAAAACCTGTGGGAAAGGGTCTTAAATGAATGTACAATAAAAAAATGGTGGGAAAAGGCAGACAAAGGGGACGCTGAGACAAACAAAGGCTGAGATAGAAAAGTAAAATAAAAGATAATCAGAAAACAAAAGACACTTCCTCTGTAATTATGAGAGGAAGATGAGTTTTATGTTTCACTTGTTTGTTCTTTGTAGAACAAACACTTTGTTTGGCTTGGAGCCGTTTCTTGTTTAGGTCTTAACTTCTTTTTGCCTTTTCAGTAGTTTTGGGGCTATTTATTCTTTTTTAGCCCTCTTTTTCTTCATTATGTTGTGTTGGGGCAATTTCTTGTTTTTCAGCCCTCTTTTCTTTTTCCTTTCCTTTCTGTCTAAATACCCACCTGGGCTAAGTACCGTACTGATCACCCCTCTAAAAAGGTGTGACAAAGGGCTGCTGTTTGCCATGGCCTTAAGTAGAGTCCACAGGTGTGCCAGGTTGGCTCTAATCATAGGCTTCTGGGAATTGGAGTTCCCTGAACTGGTGGCGCCTCACCGCCGTCGCCCTCTGCTGGTGGCCGGTGGCACAGGCTGGACTCTTACAACTCATTTATTGGATATATGATACATATATATATACACTCATGGATTGGAACATCCAGACAATTGTGCTCTCACTGGACGCTGGTGATGAAAATTGGAAACCGTGTTCACACTGATGGAAATCACGTGATTTTCAAGTTAAGGCTCTGCGTTTAAAATAATTTTGAAATATTAAAAGTAATAACTACATTCTTATGCAGCTTATTTTGTCCACTTATTTAGCTACAACGAAATGCACCACTGTACAAATGGAGATTTATAAATCGTTCTTTAGGGTCAAATTTGTGCAAATAAGACAAATTAACTGTGATTAACAACACAAGAAATATGATTAATCATATTACTCTCATATATGACAGTCCAAACAGTAATGATCGTTACAGTAGTATTGATAACATAAACAAAAACAGTCCAGGTCATAGGTCAGGGTTTGTGGCCTAACCTGTGACCTTGACTTGGTGATTGGGAACATCTTGTCTCTGGTACCTGACATTTTTATGACATGTTTCTATCTTAAGGGCTTGAAGAAAAACTGGACTGTGCCTACTGACACTTCAGATTTGAACCGAAGACCTTCTTTTACAATAATATTGTTTAGAGAGGCTGTTTTTCTTCTGTCTTCTTCAATTTACAGGCAGAGTTTCTTTTCACGAAGCCTCTATGACTTACACACACTTGAGTACATAAAGTTCTGATTTAAAATTCAAAACTCTTTCACATATACATTCTCTCTCTCTCTCTCTCTCTCTCTCTCTCAAGTCCATTCATCACCTGCTCTCACAGAATGCTGATTAGACAGTTCTACCCTTCCCACTCATACATCTTCCCTTAATGGGGTTTTGTGCTCAGATGTAGGACTAATGGAGACTCTCTAAAGCCCACTTTGTTGTAAATGCTTTACAGTATGAACAGTGTGGATTTCTGAAGGCTTTTAGAGCAGTATGGTCTGCACACGTCTGCCATAATGAAGGCTTTCATGCTAGAAAAGTGCATTTCTGTGTGCTGCCAGCCTGTTTATGGGTGCTGCTATGACCGCTGTAACAGAAAGAGATTGAGAAGAGGTAGTTTTAAGGTTACACTGCAAACACTGGGATCTTAACAAGCCAGAGAATCTTGAAAATGAACAGCAGATCTTTCTTTTTTATATAATGATTAACAGACTAGACTAGATGTATATGTATAAGATTAATCCGAGAGCTATAAGAAACTTTGTCTACAATTATTTTGATGAATGAGTTAATTATACAGAGAACTAAAAGGTGTCGGCACAGAAACAGCAGTGTTGCATGGGCTTTTACACTAGTTTAAAGATATAAGATACTTTATTGTCATTGCACAAGGTACAATTCATAGTACAATGAATTTTTCATTGTTTGTGGAAATCAGTAGGTTCAGTTTGTCCATTTTGTTGGTGACGGATCTGGCGTTGGTGAGAAAAATGCTGTGTATCGCCGGTTTGTGTGGTTGTTTCTTTAGCCTAGCAACTCCGCCGGACCAGCATCCACACTTTTGCTTCCTGTGTCTTCCCCCGTCTCTGCCACCTGCCAATCTACAGAGAGCCTGGTGTCCAGGCTATCTCCTCTGGGATGATGTCAGAGTGCAGGAATTCCCTTGTAACAGTCTGTTTTTGCTGTAACTCTCTGTAACTGTACTAAATGGAGCATCAAGAGAGGTGTTTCAAACCCAAGTGTAGCACGTCCTGTGCTACCTTAGGTGGAATAAGGAGGCTGGAGAGATGGTTGCAGCAGCCATTTCCAGTTTTATTTTTCCACACAAACAAAATCACAACCAAAAACCTGCCACTTTTGAGTGGCTTCTAGCTAGGTTTTTCAGTCCTTTTCTCAGCTCATTGGTCTTTCTTCTGCTGCTGCTGCTCGTTCCTCTCTCTGTGTTCTCTCTCCACTCCTTTTAAAGGTGCCTGCACTGCTGAAGCCAGGGGAGCTTCATCTGGCTCTCATTATAAGGCTGAGATGGCCACCAGGTTCAAACATCAGGCATAATACAGTGGCCTCACTGCAGGACGGGAAGCAGGGTCTCGTGGTATAGGGACCATCCCCATGCCACATGCGGCTGTTGTCATCTTCCCGCCATTTCACGTAGCTGTCGATCCCCTCCTGCCATTTCTCATGGCTAATGATTTCCTACTGCCATCTCTCGTGGCTGTCGTCAGAGTGTAGGGTTCAGGTGCTGCCATCCTGCCACCTCCTGTGGCTGTCATTTGTGCCGGAGGGTCAGGCGCCTGGCATGCCAAACACCGCTTTGTCTGATACACTTGTACCAGCACAACAATTACCGTGTCAGTGTCACTGCTGTACTGAGGATAACCACCAAAATAATATCTCGACAACAGTGGACCTGTGGTCAGAAACTGACCAATGATGAATGGGGTTGAGGGGCTGATAAACTGTACAGAAACAGATGAGCTATAGTCTGTAAGTGTACACCTACATAGTGCACACAGTCAGACAAAGAGAAAGAGAGAGAGACAGAGAGAGAGAGAGAGAGACAGAGAGGGGACAATAGATGAAAATACAAATGGAGAGGGAACCTACCTGGAATGGCTGGTGGCGTTTTTAGATATTTGCCGTTGAAATGCTGAATCACAACTTCACATTTTTCTGTAGATTCCATCCTGAAAAAAGACAAACTATTTGTAAAAAGGAGAGAAGCAATACAGACAATACAGCACAGAAATCATGCATAGCTGGTTAAGAACTACTGATACTGCAAACAGCAGAGATTTGCATGTTTTCCTTGATGCACACTTAGGCCCAATGTCATTTCTTCTTTTTACCCCTACCCCTTGTTTTCAAATGTCACCCTTACTTGTAACTCAGTTCCAAGGGGTAGTGGTTGAAATCTTGCCCTATGAAATGGGACCCTCAAAATAAAAAATAAAAAAAAAACATTGCTTCATTAACAGGCTAGAAGTGGTGCTCTGTAAGCAACCTGGCCCGTCTGCAGTGATAGCAGAGGAGGGTAAAGTTCAGCTCCTCACTGCTGGGCTTTAGTTACATTTAGGGGATCATATGCTTTCAAAGAGGGGGGCAATTATTTATGATCACCCACCCCTAATTCTTCAGTGATATGAAGCTGAAGTCAGACGTTCGCCAGCTTCTTGTTCAAATTTTCCAGTTCCACCTTAAATGGTGCTTTAGGCATCAGAATTGCTGGACTATTTAAGGTGGAACGGGAAAGTTAGCTAGTTAGCTACCGAGACCTTAGCATGCTATTAGCGATTTTTTATGTTTGTTATGAAGAAAATGACCATAATACACTGAAATGACATTAAACTAAGATAATACAGTGGTTATCATAATTTTTAACAGAGAAAATTCTCACATTTGTGGATTTCTTTGGTCTCTTGTTCAGCCATCTTGTAACACTCTGCTTGGAGTGTGTCTGAAAGACCTCTGTTTGGAGGGCCGTGTAGCTCTAACACTTCACCCTACCCCTCTATCTCAACAAGAATCAGAACACCCTACCCCTAGACCTGAAGGAGCAAAACAGAGGGCTAAAGGCTAAGTGGTAGGGGCGAGGGGTGAGACTTAAGACTTTAAGAAATTTTAGCCAGAAGAAAAGCATAAGCAGACATTGTAGTGAATTTGTGTTTTTACCTTGGCAACAGTAGCCAAAAGTTAATTAGTTGCAATGAATGTCAAGTACATCGCTGACATTCCAGTCCCCAGACCGAACGGATATTTAAAAACTCGCTCTACTAAAAACTCGAGACTGACCTCATACTCTCACCTCAAAGACTCGAGACTGACCTCATACTCTCACCTCAGAGACTCGAGACTTAACTCATACTCTCACCTCAGAGACTTGAGAGTCAACTCATACTCTCAGAGTATGACTGACCTCATACTCTCACCTCAGAGACTCGAGACTGACCTCATACTCTCACCTCAGAGACTCGAGACTCTACTCATACTCTCACCTCAGAGACTCGAGACTTAACTTGTACTCTCACCTCAGAGACTCAAGACTCAACTCATATTCTCACCTCAGAGACTCGAGACTCAACTCATATTCTCACCTCAGAGACTCGAGACTCAACTCGTACTCTCATCTCAGAGACTCAAGACTAAACTCATACTCTCACCTCAGAGACTTAAGACTCAACATATATTCTCACCTCAGTGACTCAGGATTTGAGAATCAACTCATATTTACACTTCAGAGACTCAAGACAAGACTCAGACTAGCACCTTAGACACTCAAGACTCAACTTGCCCTCTCATCTCAGAGACTTGAGACTCAACTGTTACTAACACCTCACAGACTCAAGACTTGACTCAGAATTACCTCAGAGACTCGAGACTCAACTTATGCTCTCACATCTTGAGACTCTACTTATACTCTTACGCAAGACACTTGAGATTTGATAATGAACTTGTACTTACATTTCAGAGACTCATGACCCAACCCACACACTCACCTCAGAGACTCGAGATTCAAGAATCAACTCATACACTCACTTCAGAGACTTGAGACTCAACTCAGACTCCCACCTCAGAGACTCAAGAATCAGACTCTCACCTCAGAGACTCAAGACTCAAACTCCCACCTCAGAGACTCAAGACTCAGACTCTCACCTCAGAGACTCAAGACTCTACTCAGTCTCCCGGCTCAGAGACTCAAGACTCAGGCTCTCATCTCAGAGACTCAAGACTCGATTCAGACTCTCACCTCAGAAACTTGAGACTATTCAGGCTCTCACCTCAGAGACTCGAGACTCTACTCAGACTCTCACCTCAGAGACTCGAGACTTTATTCAGGCTCTCACCTCAGGCATTCAAGACTCTATTCAGACTCTCACCTGAGAGACTTGAGACTGTACTCAGAGACTCGCCTCAGAGACTCAAGATTGAAGAATCAACTCAGACTCTCACCTCAGAGACTTGAGACTACTCAGGCTTTCACCTCAGAGATTCGCGACTCGGACTCTCACCCCATTCACTCGAGACTTAGGACTCAACCTGGACTCTCACCTCAGAGAATCAAGCTTCAAATCATACCTGCATCTCAGAGACTTGATTCAGACTCACGCTTCACTCATTTAACAGTATTATAAAACACCTCTCTAGAACAAACAAACTGAGTTTGGTTAAAACTACAAAAGCTGGTTCATTTGTTTGGAAGTATCTCTATATAAACTCTCCAATCTGAATTCCAGGCTTTAAACTGGTATTACACTTTACTCCACTGTATGTTCTACATAGCTTTTGGTACTCATCCTCACTCCAACCAGCATTTTGCACTATTCCTGTTTATTCCTGCCATCTTCTCCACTCCACACTGCCGGTCACCTCACCTGGTTTAGTGCCCTTGCTTTTATTTATTGTTATTTGTTATCTGGTGTATTTGTCTAGTTTGTGCAATATCCTTCTTTTATGTGCAATACCCCCCTCCTTTATTGTCCCCTGTGCACTTCTATTTATCTGTAGGAGCATGCTGCTGTAATACAGCACTGTGAAAAAGTATTTGCCTCCTTCCCAATTGCTTCTATTTTTGCATTTTAGTCGCACTTGAATGTTTCAGATCATCTACTAACTACTTTTAATATTAGACAAACATAACCCAAGTTAACACAACAATATTTTAAAAAATGATGATTTCATTTATTGAAGGAAAAATGCTGTTCAGCCCTACCTGGACTTATGTGAAAAAGTAATTGCCCCCTTAGCTACTAAAACAACTGGTTAACTAAATTCAATTGACTATTGGGTTCAGTTTCACTACCCACACCTAGACATGTTTACTGCCAGACCTGCTGACTCTAAACATCACTTAAACAGAGCCTGTCTGCCAACGTGAAGCAGCTAGAAGGTCTCAAAAAGCAGCACATGATGCCACGTTCTAAAGAGACTCAAACACAGATGGGAAACGAAGTCATTGAAATCTGTCAGTCTGGAAAGGGTTACAAAGCCATTGCTGAGGTTCTGGGACTCCAGAAAACCACAGCGAGAGCCATTATACACAAATGTAAGAGTGGTGAATCTTCCCAGGAATGGCTGACCTAACAGAATTGCACCCAAAGCACATCGACAACTCATCCAGGAGGTCACTAAAGAACCCAGACAAACATTTAAAGAACTGCAGGCCTCACTTGCCTCAGTTAAGGTTAATGTATACGATTCCACAGTAAGAAAGACACCGAGCAACAATGGCATCCATGGGAAAGCTGCAAAGGGCTAACCACTTCTGGCCAAAAGGAACAAAAAGCCTCATCTTGCATTTGCCAAAAACCATCTAAATGACCCCCAAGACTGTTGGGATAATATCCTGTGGACTGATGAGTCAAAGTTGGAACTTTTTGGAAGGCATGAAATGAATACGCTGCCTAGTTTTAAAAAGTCATAAGAATAAAACATTTTTGTTGGCGGAGAGGAACACGCAGGGCATTGTGAGGCAAAACAAAGCCTTAACTGAAATCACCCTTTTATTAAGCCATGTTCAAAATGAAGTCATGCAACACAGTTTAAATTCAAAGGAATGTTCATCAGTTCTAAACTCTGTGTGGATGTTTACAGGTTTTTGTTCCATCACAGTAACAGTAGTTGATGCTGTAGTTCCAGAAATTCTTCCAGAAGCTTTGCAAATAGAGTGGTCTTATTTTTATTTTTCAGTTCCTATATTTTACAAAAAAACACTGCCATTTTCAGACCTTCTCACTGCTTGTCTACGTTCACTAGACAAGAGAACCACACACACACACACACATAAACGTACCATCCCTATAGCTTTAGAAAACCATTTAAATACAAATTTAATATCCTGTAAAAATGTACATTTACACTACCATTCAACAGTTTGGAATCACTTGCCATATTAACATATTTTGATATTTGTGTGCATAATTATAGCACAATGTTTACATATTCACACTACACAATATTTAAAAAATTCTGGGGAACAAGAAGTTACATAATAAATAAAACCTACTGTAATTATCCATTTATAATATTTTGGTCTCAATACTTTTGAAATGTGATTAATTCTGGAAACTTATTTTTGGAAACTTCCTTCTAGATATTAATTTTATTTGTACTTCATTCTGGATTTTAATTTTAGTAGAACTTTCTCAGTCAGTTTAGAATCTTGTAGAGTTCTGTTGATCATTCTGGACACATCTGTCATTTCTTCATTTTTTTTTTACAACTTTACACTAATGAAGCAAAAGCTGTGGCGTTCTACAGGACTAATGTTTAAGAATAATTTACAATCATTCAAACAGTGACTGTAAACTTTTAAACAGTAGTCAAGTCTAATGATGGATCTAAGGCTTTAATTACCTGGCGAATCCCACTCCTCGACTGACCCCGCTAGCATCCCTTAGTATCCGTGTGGAAATCACATGACCAAATGGCTTCAGCATGCTCTCCAGGTCCTGCTCATCCATAGTGACCGGCAGATTGGAGATATAGAGGTTAGTGGGGTCCTGCTCCTGCTGCTGTAGAGAGAGAGAGAAAAAGAGAGAGAGAGCGAGAGAGAGAGAGAGAGAGAAAGAGAGCGAGAGATTTTACTTTTTTAATAGTATTTGTATTAAGTATAACTTTTATTACTTTGACAACACTTGATTAATTAATTTGGTTAATTAGACTTTTATAGTGTTTATCATGACACTCAGAATTCCACAAGAGGAGGAGCTTCTGAATGTGAGAATTAGGATGTGTTCACACTTGACCGGTTTGATTAAACTGAACCCTGGTGTCATTGCTGGGTTAGTGTGGTTTGTTAGAACACAAACACTGCCATTCAAATCCTGGAACACTCTAAATCAGCAGATCTAGATCCCGTGAAGAGGTCAGTCTCAGTCTGCTTTAAAATAAGCTCTGATGTTTCTGTTAAGTTAGCAAAAATGCAATATGGACCATAGATTTCTATATGGACCAATCTTTTATTCCCATGTGTCAAACACAAGGCCCGCAGGCCTGATCTGGCCCACGAAACTATCCTATCTGACCTCCAAAAATATTTTAATTCTCTATTAAAATTAGCTTGTTTCACAGTGCATTGAACTACAGTCCCCAGCATGCACTGTAATGTAATGTGCTCTGACTCTCCTACTCCAGCAACAGTCTATGGGACAGGATGTGTTTTGATACCTTATCTTGAGCACAGAATTATACAGACCCCTGCTGGTGATATTGCTTATGAATCTAAAATAATGTGTTACTACAACTCAGTAAGGCATGTTGACAGGATCCTAAACTATAGCTATGACTTAGTAAGATGTGGGATCGAGATAATTAAGTCATGGCCATAACATAGTAATGCATGGGAAAGAGATCATTTGTAGCCATAAATTAGTAAGGCATGGGAACAAGATAATTAAACCAAGGCCATAATGGTCATAACTTAATAAGGCATAATAACGAGATAGGTAAGTTATGGCTATGATTTATTAAGGTGTGGGAATGGGATAATTAAGTTGTGGCTATGACTTAGTAAGACCTAGTAAGAGGACTACAGTCCATTCCACTAATCTCAAGCTTTGTCTTATTTCCTAATTCTCCAATCACTGCTTAGGAACCATTGCTATCTGTCACTGCCTCGAGCCTTCAGTTCCCACTGTTGTAAAGTCTCTGAGTTTTCATCTCCACACTGGATGATTTATGGGTCAATGTAAACACATGGAGGAAGGAGTGGAAAGGTCAATATGTATCATATTTACATTACTTACAGCATATTTACACTTAGCATTTGACTCAAATATCAGCATTCGATCCCAATCGGCAAGCATCGTAATGAACAGAGCAAAAAGAAAAGAAAAGAAAAGAGGAGGGACGAGATGAGAAGCATTTTCTGCATCAGTACAGAGACATTCTATAAAAACACAGAGATCTCCAATCACCACTTAGGAACCACTGCTATCCGCCACTGCCTCAAGCCTTCGGTTCTTGATTAGCATTCCAGTGTTTGAATCTGAAGCTCCAGTTGTGATCAAAAGATGTAACTGAGGCATCTGTAAAAGTGAGATATCATCCCTGATGGAGTATAATTATGTAGTTTTCCACTCATTTCCAAAGCCAAAACAAATTGAAAAAGCCTTGTTGTCATCAGTGATCTGTGAATTTGAGGCTATGTACAATTCTATTTTACTACAAAAGCTAAAATGAACTGTATGTCATGGAAAATGTCTACTTCAATGTGTTATCAAAAGTGAAACATAAGTGCTTATAGACCATTTTTCATGCATGCCATGGCTGTATGCTTAAGCCAAGAATGTTTAGGTTTAAGTTCTTAAGTTTGCTATGTTGTTTTTCCTTGTTTTTTGTACACCTCTCCTGACTCAAACTTGGTTAAGTCATCTTCATTGTGCCTGTGGTGAGTGGACACATGCTTTATACTGGAGGGTGCTGCAGTGTTGGTTGTTTTTATGTGAATTCAATAGGCCGGTTGATGTGTACACAGTCTTGCTATTGTTTTGTTTCATCATAAGTTGGAAGTGTTGGAGTAGGTAGGATGATCATGGCACTGCTTTCTGGAATATGCTGCAGTTTGATGTTGTGATAATGTCAGATTAGCATGTTTGGTAAACATATCTACAGAGGTGGTCTATGCACTGTTTTCACAGGCTTACCCCCCAAAATTTATTTTGCCTATGTGACTCAAGTAATGTGATCTAATGGGTGGTCAGTACAGATAACTTCACAGATTTAGTGTAGGTCTGTCCTGAGATTTCACAGGAAAGTACGAGACACAGTACCACACATGGTATATTGGCAGAAATCTCGGCTTCTCTAATGTTACATTACAAAAGCTTGTTGTTAGCAATACAAACACTGTTATCAGTCTTGCTAATAGAAAGTGAGACAAAGAGAAAGAGAGAGGAAGAGTCATTCCTTGTTTGTTGTAAAGTCTCTTTGAGTTTTCATCTCTACACTGAATGATTTATGGGTCAGTGCAATCATACAGAGGAAGCAGTAAAAAAGGTCAATATTTATCATATTTGCATTACTCACAGCATATTTACACTCAGCATTCTACTCACATATCAGCTTTCGATCCCAATTGGCAAGGATTATCATGAACAGAGCAAAAAGAAAAGAGGAGGGAGGAGAAGAGAAGAATTCTCTGCATCAGTACAGAGACACTCCATGAAACACACAGAGTTCCCACATTCTTACACAGGAGAACAGCTCAAAAACACGCCTCCCTCAGGGAGGACCACACTGAGGTAACCACGGCGATACAAAAAGATACAGAGTTACCACGGAGATAAGCAGTTACCATAGCAGTGCACGTTACTGCAGCAGCAGCAGACAGTCTTCAACCCAGGAGCTGCGTTCAGACTCACTCACCGAATTCTCAGTGGTAAATCTGTCAGTCATTCCCTGATTCTTCTCCAGCCAGTTCACTTCCATAGTGAATCCTCACTGCTGGGAAAAATACTCTTTTCCATTTCTGACTTTCTTTAAATAATATGAAAACGCCAGCTGCCGTTTACATTGTTTGAACGTTTCATGATGAATGGATGAATAACATCTTTTTACATTGACTTACTCACAGAGCTTTGTTGGTGACATTCCTCTCTTAATAAAAATAATGTGTGGCCACCACTTAGGCATGGGAATGGGATCCTAATGTGTGGCCAGGACTTTATAAGGCGAAAGAATGAGATAATTTACTAACAATCACGGCTTAGTAAGGCATGGGAACAAGATACTTAAAGTGTGGCCACAACTTAGCAAGGCATGAGAACAATAAAAGTAAGTGGTGGCCAAAGCTTAGTAAGGTGTGGGAACAAGATGATTAAGTTATGGCCACAAGGTGTGGGGACAAGATAATTTAGTTGTGGAGCTGGAGATAAGATGCTGTAAGTTAAGATTCCTAAATTAAGATCAGGTTTTTTATCTTAATTAGTGAAAAATCTTGTCTTAACCTGTCAGTTAAGACAAGTTAAGACAAAAGATAGGAAGTTTCTGTAATACAGCACCTGTTCCCAAATCTTAGTAGGTCTAACTAAGCTGTGGCCATGGATACTTTTTCTAAGAAGGGGTCATCAAGGGGGCTCCATAAGACAGTCTGATCTATGTTAGTCTACAAGAGAGTCTTACAGAGAATGAAAGTATATAAACTAGAAAGAAAGAAAAAAGAGAAATAAAGAGAGACAGAGATTCACAGAGACAGACAGAGAGAGAGAGAGGAGAGAGAGAGAGAGAGAGAGAGAGAGTGATTAACAATACTCATGGTCTCTTCTGTCAGTTTAATATCCTTTAATGCCAGCCTTCATTCACGCTCCACTGATACTGTGTAAATCACACTGTAATTGAAGGCTGTGTGTGTATATCGGTGTGTGTATATCGGTGTGTGTGTGTGTGTGTGTGTGTGTGTGTGTATTGGTGTGCGTGTGTGTGTGTGTGTGTGTGTGTGTGTGTGTATGAGACGGTCCATTGTGTGAATAACTAATCACTTTCAGTGGACACATTTAGACCACAGATGCTCTACATCAGGGGTCATCAGATCTGACCTGGGGCCAAACTCTTGAAGTCCAGATATCTTCTGTGTGTCACTATCGGCAAGGATTTAATTAAACAAATCATTAATGCCTCTAATTGTTTTACGTTGACCCTTCGACCCATCCACAGACGTTAAGTCCAGCTCTGTTGCTATGACTTCACTGCTCTCAAAGGCAGCTTTGAATGGAAATAAGTTTCACTGATAAGTTATTTCCAGTGAAATAATAATAAAGGTAAGTACAGTGAGACTATCATTTATTTCATTATATATGTATGTGTATATACATATATACACACAGTGGTGTGAAAAAGTGTTTGCCCCCTTCCTGATTTCTTATTCTTTTGCATGTTTGTCACACTTAAATGTTTCAGATCACCAAACAAATTTAAGTATTAGACAAAGATAAAACAAGATCTTTATTAATAAGGGAAAAAGAAATCCAAACCTACAGGGCCCTGTGTGAAAAAGTGATTTCATAAAAGGAACATTTCAGAAAAGGAACATCATAACTGGTTGGGCCACCCTTAGCAGCAACAACTGCAATCAAGCGTTTGCGATAACTGGAAATGAGTCTTCTACAGCGCTGTGGAGGAATTTTGGCCACTCATCTTTGCAGACTTGTTGTAATTCAGCCACATTGGAGGGTTTCTGATCATGACTGATCGGTGTAATTAAATACATATATCTTAGAATATAGAATAATATAACTACTAGTGATTTGGGACTCAGACACATCCACACACGATAAATGACGCACTATTTGGCTGTAGAGGCTACAATTTCTTTCATAGCTAGAACACTATTTAGGGAGTACGGAGCCGTTTGGGATTCAGCCTGGGCTTGACGCGACTTCTGACTGAAATAGCATTTAAGACATTAAAGTGACTTTTTTAGACTTTTATACTGTGGTTTTACTGTTAATCATACTGTACACACTTGAATTCAAGCCTGTGATATTAATGATGGAGTTATTAAGGCTGTTTGCTC